TGAGGGTTCTTGTGTTGTAACCAAACCGAACGCCTTTTTTGTAACAAAAAACGTCTAACATCAGGCTGTTTAAATGTAAACTTTAGTTTTGTAGTCAATATGTTTGAGATAGATCTGAAATGGTTTAAAGATGGGAGTGACATTTGAAGCGCGCTAAAGTTTGGTACTTTTTTACAAATAATATATCACATTTAGCTCTCCCCCCACCTCCACACTTTTCTTTGGGGTTCAACAATCCATCCGTGCCTGCTCCTCCTCTACCATTCCCACAAAATGGTCCTCGCTTGAATAACAATAGTGCAGATGGTAGCAATCCCGCTTTTAGAGGCGAGTTGAATTCGATCAACTAAACAACCTTCGGCTTCTTAGACACAAATAACATAAAATAGGTTTTGCTCTAATATTCTAAAATTTAGGACAAGGCTACCCGCAGTGCAACGGCTCCGTGCAGCAGAATGTCGACATTAGAGTCCCACCCATCGGCATGCCAATAGCCAATGGTAGGTTTATGTGTGCATCACGACTAATTACAAAATTGTGTAAACTGCGCCCAAACATGACTCTCGCAGTTTGTGGAATATTTCAGGATTCGGTGCATCTGGTATGTATCATCCTCCGCATTGCGGTGCACAGCACCCGGCTGTGAATCCTGTGGTTAACGACCCATCTGCTCTCAAAGGTAACTTCTTTTGCCCTACTTGCGCATACCAAATATCAAGTTGTATCTTTAGGATTGGGGGGCGCTTCCAATATCTCCTCTGTACCAGACGTTCCACCACAGAACCAGAACCCAAACAATTCTATGCGGCAGAATGTGCAACCATCGGATGACGAACATCTACTCCAATGTAAGAGCCACATTTGACTTTACCACTTCCGACAAATCATATGCAGATATACTGTGGTACTCGACTTATCAGCAGTATTCACCTCATGCACTTCAGCACATTTCTCAAATGATTCGAAACTGTAAGTTCATCTCACTAATTTCTAATGTGCAAATCCATATATAGAAAACTCAGGATTTTATGTGCAAATCCAAATATACTTTTTCATACCGAAACGCAAATTCGCGAGAGTGGAATAGAAATGCTAGCCAAGAACAAAATGGTAATGTGAGCGCAGAGCATCATGCTGGCCAAGATCAAACTGCAAGTGCTGGTCGAGTGCGAAATGAGAGCGTTAGCCAACAACAAACTGAGAATGTTGGCCCTAGTTCCAGCTCAGGTCGGCAAGAAACACAACAGAGTAAGTTTAGTAGGACGGCAATTAAAGCACG